TGACATTGACAAAAGGACCAAGACTGGAAAATGGAAGTGGAGCACACAGTCCTTGCTCTGTGCTTGTGAGAGTGCCAGGGACTGTATCTATCCATATTCCCTTTGAGAACACAATGCAACCCACCGCTGAAGCACTCCAGATGACAAGGGAGAGATGAGAGGAAGAGAGGGAGAGAGAGAGATGAAATGAAAGAGAGAAAATGTACAATGGCACTGGTGGAAACAATTGCCATTAATGGCATCATCTTTTCCCCACAGAGATTGCATTGAGGGAACAATGAGCTCCTCGTTGGCTCACTAACAATTCACTGAGAGTTTTACATACAGTGCATGACAGACAAAAGTAGTCAGTGTTACTTTAGTTGCGATGAGGCTCCATTAGCTGAATAAGGTGCGTTAAAAAATGGATTTATTTTTGCCAGTAAAAACACACTGAATGAGATGATGTTCTTCAGGTGGAACCTTTCTATAACCTGGAAATGAACTGTAGTTGGTTATCTTTATGAAACTGTGTCACCAAATCAGAATGTTGAATGTTCACTGAGTTGCAAAAGATTTCTTTATGAAGTTATGAGTCATCCTTGCTAACACCACAATAATGTTAATTTGTTTCAGCCAAAAGGCAAGGCGACAAGTATATGGGCATTGCAAAATAGAATATAATAGGAAAGAGCAGATTAGAAATGAATGTTTTATGAGATGTTATGAACAGGCTCTGGTGCATGACTTGTTCAACCATGCAGTTCAAGTGGACCAGTTGTTATCACCGAGTTGTAAACGTAGCTTCTGCTCTGTGCTTTCACTGGCTCTGCAGGCGAGATGACTTCCAGATGGTCCGGGGAAAGTGTTTGCCTTAGGTTACTGCAGGCCAGCCTGCCTGTGCCTTTTTCAGCTGAGGGGAAAGATAGAGATACAGTGTGCGTCTGTTTGTGTGTGTGTGTGTGTGTGTGTGTGTGTGTGTGTGTGTGTGTGTGTGTGTCTGTGTCTGTGTCTGTGTGTCTGTGTATATATGTGTGTAAGTGTAAGCATGCATCACGCAGTCCAACTTTTTTTTTTATTTTGCACACACACCCACACACACAACAGCTCCTCAAGCACTCAGCTGGCTGGTTCCTGTCCATGACACTCCACGGCTGTCTGTGCAAGTGGTTCTCAAAGCAGGGTCCGAGGACCACAAGGACACGCCAGGGGGTCTCAACTCAGAAAAAACAAGAAAAAAAATAGACCAATAAATAAAATGACTAATAACTCCCCACAAAAAGCAAAAAGAGATTTAAAGGATAGGTTCACATTTTTTCCTGTCCGAACTGGCCACAAAAAAACTCCCGAACAAAGCAGTTTTAATGTAAGTAATAGGGGACAAGTATGGCTAAAAAACGCCAAGGTCCTCTAACCTTAAGGAAGTACTCATCTTAACCCAAACCACAATCTTTTCCCAAACCTAACCAGCCCTTTTTGTGCCTAAGCCTTGCCAAACCATAACCTTTCCATAAGCTTGTCCAGTGTTTATTATTGTAACCATGACAACAAATGTCTGGTATGCTGCCACCTTAGGGGTGCTATTTCAGGAGCCCAACAGTCTATATGGCCGTTCAGGTTGGAGGATTTGTTGTAAAAAGAAAGTAAAAATTTGTCTGACTCAGGCTGCTGAAGCCTCATTCAAGCTTTGGCTGAACTTTAGAATCTGCATTTGCGTTTTTGGACAGAAAGAGGACTGTAGATTTTGTCCTCCATCATCTACGCTAGAAAAGACATTTCATCACCATGTGCACAGGAGAAACAGTTACAGCAATGATGCGTTTAAAGGAGCTATTTGTAAGTTTTGCTATTGCTACATAGCCAGCATTAGCATTAACAGGTGTTTACTTGCCAGTCTAGAAGAAACAATGGGGAACACACACACACACACACACACACACACTCAGTTGAAGTGCTGTCTCTAGCGGTGGAAAGCAACCCTCTTCTTTTGCTTCTATTTCTGTCACTTCTTTTCTTGTAGTGAAGTCAGCATGCTAACCAGCTAACCCCAGCCTGGTCAGACTGTATTGTCACAGGTGTCTAAGGGTGCATATTAAAACCTCTTGTATTGTAAATGCAGCGATGGCTGAAGCTCCTTGCCAAGACTGGTGAGTAAACAGCTGTTAATGCTGACGCTAGCTATGTAGCAATAGCGAAACTTACAAAAGATTTTCAAAGATCTCCATTTTGTTATCTTTGGTGACACCTCTGACGATACTTGGATATTGCAACACTTGTGCATTAGGTACTGATGGACACACATAACTAACTTTGTGTTTGTGACTTGCGTTAGGCTACTAGTGACTTTGCTGGTGAGTCATACCAGACACCCACTCTATAAAACTGTAAAACACAAGGACATCTACATAAATTCATCCGTGGGTCATAGGCTCAATCGCCCAATCCACCCCATTGTGTTTCATTTGGTGATAGATAGTGACTGAAATGTAGATATGAGCATGTAAATATTGTTTAAAGAAAGACTTGAAAAATGTGAACCTGTCCTTTAATTCATGATAAAAATAGTATACACACATTTTCTTGTGTCCTTGGATAAAAGACCTTAGGGGGTATAATCTCCCAGGGAGCCCTTGACGTGAAAAAGCTTCGGAAGCCACTGGCACAGTAGAAAACACTTCGACTTGACCTGACCCTGCTTTTTCCAACCTGTTTTAAAACACACAGATGCTGGCTGCTGCCCAGTCGCCTCCTCCTCCTCCTCCTCCTCCTCCACCACCACCACCACCTCCTCCTCCTCAGCAGCGCTTCAGTCCCGCCCACCGCCACCTGGCTCTGCTGCGCACCGCCGACTGGAGGCAGAGTGCAGCTACTCCTCTTCCCCACGCCGACGGAGAAGCAGAAAACAGGGAGCCCCGAGACCGAGGGTGTGTGCATGAATTTTTCTCCAAACAATCTCTACAATCTCGTGCGACTCGACGTTTAAAGGATTCTGGAGGAAAGTGAGAAGACGAGTAAAAGAAAAAAAAAAACATATATATATATATATATATATATATATATATCAGACGGGTGCCCAGCGCACTACTGCATCCTTCCTCTCCATCTATTTCTCATCTCTCCTCCTTCTCTGCCTCTGTGCTTTTTTTTACAAGACTCCNTATATATATATATATATATATCAGACGGGTGCCCAGCGCACTACTGCATCCTTCCTCTCCATCTATTTCTCATCTCTCCTCCTTCTCTGCCTCTGTGCTTTTTTTTACAAGACTCCCGGCTCTCCCATCCTGCATATCCTCAGTGACTGACCGTTCACTGCAAGCCGCGAGCTGCCCTTATTCTTTTGTCGGAGTTTGAACCACATTTCTGAGCTGCTGGAAGTACCGATACCGCTAGAGCCCCTGAGAGCTGGCCGGACTCTGTAGCTTTCGTCTTGCCGATTCAAGCGGATCATCGAAGGGACCTTGCGCGGAGTCAAAAGGGACTGGAAATTATTTAGCCCTCTCAAACCAACGTACCGCATGGTGGGAATTTCTGCCTCTTTTCAGTGTAAGTAGAGCTCTGTCTTTCAATAGCCCATTGCTTGTATTTTCCCCAGTTACGCCTTGGCTGTAGTGTCTTGTACCCTCATACAAACATGTGTGCGCCAAATTAAGAAAAAAACAAAACAAAAACATGTTGACCCATAACAGAATTTGACATTTTTGATTTGTGCTTTGTTTCGTGCATTTGAACGTAAAGTAGGCAGAATGTGTGGTGCCAAATATCATAGGATTTCTTGAAATATGTAGCCTAGAGAAGTATGTTTTATTTTATGAAATGACAAACCTATTGCAGAAGCGATTCGCGCCTGTGCTGTGTAACAGTGTCAGGGTTACAAACACGTTTCATACTAATGGGAAATGAGCAGTGAGATTAGATTTTTAAATGGATTTACTACCATTGAAGAATTTGAAGTTGTAGATATCGTAACTTTGCTGAATTAACACGCATTTTGTTCAAAACGACCCCTGAGAAAACCATTTAACACCAATAATCCATTCATCTCTGTGAAATCAAAAGAACAATGAGTGGGTCAGTTTGTTGAAATAGGGACATGAACTTGCAGCCGTCCCTGTCTCCATAAAAAAAAAAAAAAAAAAAAAAAAAAAAAAAATTCTCGNCAATTCACGAGCTTGATCCCAGGATGGAGAGTTGTTCTCTGGCAACAGGCAGCTCAAGTTAATGGATCAAGTTTGGTGACACTTTTTATTTTTTTATTTTTTTTTTTAGATCTGTCGAGAACCTTTTTCCACATTATCTGATAATCCCCAGAAAGCGTGGACACCCAAGACTGTAGCTTCTGAGTTTGAAAGCGAGGCGTGTGTCGCCCCTCCTCAGCACGGGATAGACAATCATGTGGCACAGGGAGCTGAGAGTCTGCACGGTTGTTAAATCGAAAACTAAAACAACACAAGGTGAATTTCACTGCCAGAATAAGCTAGAATAATCCCACATCTGATGACAGATTTTCGCCAGTTTTCTAAAAGAAACGACCAAATATCTAGTCATTAATCGTTCTTTTCCAAGAAAGAGTGGTTGTTGATGTTCGCAGTTTTGGTGGAAAGATTTCTGGATGCAGCGACTCTGTCTTCCCTCTGTGTTTTCTCTCCTCTCCTCTCCTCTCCTCTCCTCTCCTCTCGNCTCAGCAGCGCTTCAGTCCCGCCCACCGCCACCTGGCTCTGCTGCGCACCGCCGACTGGAGGCAGAGTGCAGCTACTCCTCTTCCCCACGCCGACGGAGAAGCAGAAAACAGGGAGCCCCGAGACCGAGGGTGTGTGCATGAATTTTTCTCCAAACAATCTCTACAATCTCGTGCGACTCGACGTTTAAAGGATTCTGGAGGAAAGTGAGAAGACGAGTAAAAGAAAAAAAAAACATATATATATATATATATATACATATATATATACATACATATATATATATATATTTATATATATATATATATATATATCAGACGGGTGCCCAGCGCACTACTGCATCCTTCCTCTCCATCTATTTCTCATCTCTCCTCCTTCTCTGCCTCTGTGCTTTTTTTTACAAGACTCCCGGCTCTCCCATCCTGCATATCCTCAGTGACTGACCGTTCACTGCAAGCCGCGAGCTGCCCTTATTCTTTTGTCGGAGTTTGAACCACATTTCTGAGCTGCTGGAAGTACCGATACCGCTAGAGCCCCTGAGAGCTGGCCGGACTCTGTAGCTTTCGTCTTGCCGATTCAAGCGGATCATCGAAGGGACCTTGCGCGGAGTCAAAAGGGACTGGAAATTATTTAGCCCTCTCAAACCAACGTACCGCATGGTGGGAATTTCTGCCTCTTTTCAGTGTAAGTAGAGCTCTGTCTTTCAATAGCCCATTGCTTGTATTTTCCCCAGTTACGCCTTGGCTGTAGTGTCTTGTACCCTCATACAAACATGTGTGCGCCAAATTAAGAAAAAAACAAAACAAAAACATGTTGACCCATAACAGAATTTGACATTTTTGATTTGTGCTTTGTTTCGTGCATTTGAACGTAAAGTAGGCAGAATGTGTGGTGCCAAATATCATAGGATTTCTTGAAATATGTAGCCTAGAGAAGTATGTTTTATTTTATGAAATGACAAACCTATTGCAGAAGCGATTCGCGCCTGTGCTGTGTAACAGTGTCAGGGTTACAAACACGTTTCATACTAATGGGAAATGAGCAGTGAGATTAGATTTTTAAATGGATTTACTACCATTGAAGAATTTGAAGTTGTAGATATCGTAACTTTGCTGAATTAACACGCATTTTGTTCAAAACGACCCCTGAGAAAACCATTTAACACCAATAATCCATTCATCTCTGTGAAATCAAAAGAACAATGAGTGGGTCAGTTTGTTGAAATAGGGACATGAACTTGCAGCCGTCCCTGTCTCCATAAAAAAAAAAAAAAAAAAAGCAGACCAATCACATCACAAGCTTGATTCCCCAGAGGAGAGTTGTTTTCTCTGGCAACAGGCCCGCTCAAAAGTAAGGGATCAATTTGGTGACACTTTTTATTTTTTTATTTTTTTTTATTAAATTCTTGTCGAGAACCTTTCACATATCTGATAAACCCCAGGAAAAGCAGTGGACACCCAAGACTGTAGGCTTTCTGAGGTTTGAAAGCGAGGCGTGTGTTTCGCCCTCCTCAGCACGGAATAGACAATATTTGTGGCCACAGGGAGAAAGCTGAGAGTCTGCACGGTTGTTAAATCGAAAACTAAAACAACACAAGGTGAATTTCACTGCCAGAATAAGCTAGAATAATCCCACATCTGATGACAGATTTTCGCCAGTTTTCTAAAAGAAACGACCAAATATCTAGTCATTAATCGTTCTTTTCCAAGAAAGAGTGGTTGTTGATGTTCGCAGTTTTGGTGGAAAGATTTCTGGATGCAGCGACTCTGTCTTCCCTCTGTGTTTTCTCTCCTCTCCTCTCCTCTCCTCTCCTCTCCTCTCGGGCGTCCTGGAAAGCATTTAGAGAGACTTTGCATTTCAGAGTTTGCATTTGAAAACATCCTCCAAGAGCTCTGTTGCAACTGTCAAACGCATCTTCTCAAATCCATGTGAAGTTTCCATCTCCACCCGCTGCGACTTTGTCATCATCACATAACCCGAAAGCGCAGAAAAAAGAAGCAAGATTCTTTTTTTAATGGAGTGGCGTAGGCTTGAAATTAAAGGGTTCGGGCTGAAGTGGGAATCTTTTCCCCCGACAGGGAAAAGAGCAGACATGCGGGTTAGGGAGGGAGGCTGCTGGGACACAACCTGCTGTTGATGCCCGGCTGTTCTCACGGCTCGGATTAGAGAAGGAGGGAAATATCTCCTGGAAACCCACTGGGCTTTGGACTTTTTTATTTATTTATTTATTTTTTACGCATGCCAAGTAGTCCCATGCAAAGCTTTGAAGGCATCCAAGAGGGTGATTGTTAACTCCCTTTTAAAAGCTTGACCCACTGCTGATGTAGTCTTTGCTTAGTTAAATGTAGATGAAAAGGAATAGAGCTGTTTTTGAACAGTCTGTGTTGTGTATTAACAAGAACACAGTTTATATCAGTATTTCAGAATGAGAAAATCTTGTTTTCTGTGAGTCCAAGTATTTTTATTGAGCTGTCATGATGCATATGTAGTCCATATACATGATTAATTTAAGTTATCCATATGGAGATTCAATCTTTTTTTATTGTCAGTATTAATTGTCATTATTAATTATTATTTACTGCAGTGGTCATACTATTCAAATTGGTGTGTTGTCTGTTGTTTTCTTCCATTCTTTAACCACTGGGACTTCCATTAAAGTAGTGACTTGACTGAAAAGACCATTACCTGGAGTGTGTGTTTACAGAGATAAAGTGAGAGAGAGAGAGAGAGAGAGAGAGAGAGAGAGAGAGTAAATGAAAGGTAAACAAAGCTGGTGATGAGGGGAGAGTAAATGATAAGTGCTGTTTGCAGGTTACCACCATGTGTGTATGTGTGTCGCTGCATACACGTGCACGACTGTGCACACTGTATAAATAAACAGGCTTGTATTAACGTTAGCTGCTAACTGTGGTTCAGGCTCTGCAGCATCAGCTAGTAGCACTTCCCGGGGCCATCTGCCCAGCCACCAGCCTGCCTCACACCTGTCCACCCCCCCCCCCCCCCCCTCCCTCCCCATCTTAATCAGGATATAGGGTCAAATGCATCAGACTGCTGCTCGCAGACACGGACGTGGCCTTGCAAAAATGATGGCAGCCATTTTATTCTCGCCTTCACACACACACACGCACACACGCACACGCACACACAGAGAGGCACGGAGACACACAGAGACACTACATATCCCTAGCTGGCAGGTTGAAAACACTGTGTGTCATCAGCACACACTAATGTGGTGTATGGATGACACACACACACACACACAAAGTCACTTTGCTTTGATTATCTGCATTTTTCCCTTTAGTGCTTTTTGATGCTAACCACAGCTAATAGCTTTCTAGTGGTTTATATTGCATCCAAACACAGAATTTAGATCACAGCCTCAAACAATAAATTACTATTATTTCAGCTGATTTCCCCGTCAGCACAGAGACACAGTGAGGCTCCGGAGCTGTGATGTAATTACAAAGCGTTTCTTTTAAGTATGACACACAGACGTTTGGATGTGGTCCAGGTTTGCTTTATGGTGAATAAGCGATGATGACTCAACAGAGTTGATATGCCAGCTACACCTTGAAGCCCCCGGTATCAGCTGCATTTATATAAACTACTCTCCCACCAGAAGCCTTTTTATTCAGATGGCTTGGTATTGGATCATGCACCATGTTGCCCTGTATTGTTTGAGTATGCTCGCTATATCTTTTGTCTGGCAGGTTGGTCGTATCATTTTAGATACTAGCACAATCTTTAATTTTCCTTATTTTTTTAACATTTACTAAACACAATTAGTTAGCAGATTATTTGAGAATGAAAAAAATCCGTTGCAGCCCTCACTGGCTTTGCTGTATAGTATAAATGCTTTCTGAGTGAGTCGGCTTATGGAAACATAACTACAGTGTCCTGTAGTTGAGTCCAGTCTGGAGGTTTTGTTGCTGTTGCCTTTGTAAAACTTCCAATATGAATCATTCAGAACACATCAGTGTCAGTAACTGAACTGTAATATGTATGAAGATAAAGATTGCGGGGTGTTTTGAAATACGTACAGGTTTCATTTCAGAGTCAGAGGCCAAATGTCAGCTGTAGAATTAGATACTAAACCCACTGTTCCATGCACTCCTTCAAGATGTATAGATCTCTTCTGATTATTCAGAGCCGTCTGTTACCAAGTCCCAGAGTGAATTATAGATGAAATTGGAGTGTGTGTGTGTGTGTGTGTGTGCGCGTGCGCGCGCATGCACAATCATATACACACGTGCCCTTGTAGATCGATAGACCCATTGATGGTTATCAGCGAGAGGGCAGTTCTCCTCACTGCTTATTGAATTTCATCACCCATGAAAGAGCAGCAGTGGTATAAAAGGACTTGCAGGTGTGTGTGTGCGCGCGTCTCAGTGTAGGCTATGCATTTTTGTGTGCGAGTGTGTTGTGTATGCACATTAGTGCACGCTCTCCCCTGCTCACAAAAGCAAGAGGGCTTTGCTTTATTGTAGCTGTGAGTTGGCCTTTACAGGGGCCTTATTTAATGTCAAAGTCAACAGTGAGCACTACAAACTGATTTTATTGGCCTTGTTCGTGTTTTTACTCCAGATAACATGAGACTTATAGGGCAACTGAAGAAGAGGCCAATAGGGCAGAGGCTGACAATTCATCATGTTTCATAGATGCAGTAAATTCTTCACAGGTTTTTACACTTCAAGTCATTTAGGAAACAAATGGAAAATCATATAGATAGAACTTCAGTTCCTGATTTCGACCGCAGTCCAACTTTTTCTTCTTCCTTCTTCTTCAGCTGTGTCATTAAAGACAGAGAGCTGGGTAGTGTAGACCTTCAGCTGTCCAGGTGTACGGCTAACAGTGTGTACCACTGTTCCTGGTTCTCAGGCTAAAACACACACACAGATAGACATTTGCGGGGCAACATAAACACACACACTGTCCTCTCAGTCCTCTGTATATAGACTGGGATTGAGTTGCTAATTAACTTCACTTTCTCTAACTGTATCGCACACAGGCAGACTGCCACACACACACACACACACACACACACACACACACACATACACACACAGAATCTCTCTCTTAGGCTCCTTCTCATGATGTCTGTCCCCTCGCTCTCTCTTTCTCTCTCTCTCTTTCCCACTGTTTATTTTCCTGCCTCCATCTGGAGTCGGCTGATATTGTAATCGCCCTAATGCACATTGCCTTCCCCTCTCTCACACACACACACACACACAGGCGCACACAGACACACGCACAAACACACATACATACAATGTGCCATCCTGACAAGCCCCCTTTTCTTATTCCAAAAGATAAGCCACTGGATGTGATTCTCTGACTGTGTGTGTTTGTGTGCGAGTGTAAGCGCACATGCAGGTGTCTATACAGTATGTCTAAAGAATACAAAAGGAGACACACACACAAAAGTGTATTTCTCCCCGCTCTCCGCCAAAGGTAACGATATTGAATGGGAGCTTCTCAGTGATGTGGACCGGCGATAATGTGGCCGAGTGAAGATGTTACCCGTTATCGCTCACCTCCTCGATACTCACCTGTCACGCAATTTACATTTAAAGACTAGACAGTGGAAGGGACAGGAATTCAGGGGTGGTAGAGGGAATGTGGTTGTGTATGTTTATGTGTGTTTTTACATGTCTTTTGTTAAGGTTGGTATGAAAAGTGTGTAC